CGTTTAGTTTACACTCGAAGTAGATTGGTCCCTCTAAGCGAGATCCCAATTCGTCGGTCATCCGACGTGACGTCTCCGTTCCCTCCTTCAGGGAACGAGGGTTACATACGTAACCGAGACGTTCTTCTGTGGCATCACTGTGAAGAAGCTTTTAAGCACCTTTATTTTTAAGAGTGTATATATATATATATACTGTATATAATATACAGTTTTATATTAATATGTTCAATTATTTTTTATTTTAAATTTTTTTGTTTTAATTGTAAAGTTTTAGTAATTAAACATCTTTTACATAGTAAGTAAAGATTTTTATTACTAGTTTTCATTTAATATGTCTATACAGTTTTTCTAATTTTTAGTTATTTTAGTACTAGTTGAAATTAAACTGAGAAATGCTGCTTTGGCAACCAATTAAAAAATGCCAAATAAAATGTTTGTTTTTTATATTTTATAGTATCATTATATAGTATCATTGAGATACTAATATTGTTTTCTATTAATATTAGAGTGTAATATAAAGAGCTTTTTATACAAATTTGTTGCTTTTTTCCATTTTGAAGTTTCAGTAATTTTGTGTTTGTCATTTTTAGTCGTTTTTGTAATATGTCTATATAGTTTTACATTTTTCAGTTTGTTATTTTAGTACTTCAAGTTAAACTAAATCAAAATGAGGAATGTTGCCTTAGCAACTAATTGAAATAAAAATAAGTTTTAAAAAATATTTTATTGTATTCCAGTTAATGTTCATATTATTTACAGTTAATTATTTTTATTATTTTATTGTTTATTATTTAAAATAATTATTATTGCTATATTTCTTATAAATTACCTATATTTCACATAAAAGTTGTATTTTTACAACTTGTAAGTTATTTGCTATATTGTTTTTTTGCATATCACTTTGTTATATATTGCATAACATTTGGTGTGTATATATATATATATATATATATATATATATATATGTATATAATTTAAAAATATGTCTGTGTGTGTGTATGTATGCATTATTATTATTTACTGTTATTGCATGTATTTATTTTTTAGCCTGTGCTTGCACATTTGTGACCCTGGAGCACAAAAGCAGCCATAAGTAGCACAGGTATTTATAATATTATAGTTATAGGTATTTGTAATATTTGTAGCAATAGCCAACAATACATTGTATGGGTCAAAATTATAATTTTTTCTTTATGCCAAAAATCATTAGGATATTAAGTAAAGAAAAAAAAACATACATTTGCTTCATGTTTAATGATTAATGCACTTTCACTTTGGAGAACGATTCCATAAATATGTCTTTACTGAGTAATAAAGTAACCCTAAAACACACTTAGCAACTGTATCATTGATATACTATTATAGATTTTATTTGTTTTATTTTTCTGATTTAATTTTAATTTTAGTTAAAGTCTTAGTAATTTCGTTTTTTGTCATTTTTGTTATTATTAATTTAAATGTTTATATAGTTCATTTTTATTTCAGTTTTACTTTTAGTTATACATCAAGTTAAACTAAATCAAAATGAGAAATGTTGCCTTAGCAACTAATTGAAATAAAAATAAGTTTTTAAAAATATTTTATTGTATTCCAGTTAATGTTCATATTATTTACAGTTAATTATTTTTATTATTTTATTGTTTATTATTTAAAATAATTATTATTGCTATATTTCTTATAAATTACCTATATTTCACATAAAAGTTGTATTTTTACAACTTGTAAGTTATTTGCTATATTATTTTTTTGCATGTCTCTTTGTTATAGATTGCATAACATTTGGTGTGTGTATATATATATATATATATATATATATGTATATAATTAAAAAATATGTCTGTGTGTGTGTATGTATGCGTTATTATTATTTACTGTTATTGCATGTATTTATTTTTTAGCCTGTGCTTGCACATTTGTGACCCTGGAGCACAAAAGCAGCCATAAGTAGCACAGGTATTTATAATATTATAGTTATAGGTATTTGTAATATTTGTAGCAATAGCCAACAATACATTGTATGGGTCAAAATTAAAAAAAATTTCTTTTATGCCAAAAATCATTAGGATATTAAGTAAAGATCATGCTCCATGAAGATATTTTGTAAATTTCCTACCGTAAATATATCAAAACTTAATTTTTGATTAGTAATATGCATTGCTAAGAACTTCATTTGGACAACTTTAAAGATGATTTTCTCAATATTTAGATTTTTTTTGCACCCTCAGATTCCAGATATTCAAATAGTTGTATCGGTGTTTAGTGTTTGTGTGAATGACTCTGTGCACTTCTATATATGTTAGTATTTAAAAGCTGCTTGTGATAGGCTTTGGTTCGTCATGTGACTTTCTCATCGCCACCTGCTTTTGGTGGTTATCAGTGTATTACAAAGCTACAAAACAGATTTCAGTACTTCAGTAGGTTGGTATATTAACATTATATCAGTTAATAAAATTACGGTAAATACGGAAAATACGGAAAATGAAAAAATGCATGCAAATAGAAAAAAAACACCTGTGCTGCAAATACAAACACAACCAAAAAACAGAAACGCGCTGCAAATACTGTACGCAGAGGCCACATTGGAAATGTTTGAGGGAACCACAACAAGTGATGAACCTGGCTGGGACATGCTTATCAATGTCTTCTTCTCGGAAAAGTGAGATTTTTTATTTATTTTAGCATCTTGATCATATAATTCCATAGCTTTTTTTGTATTATTAGCCTAAATAAGCTGACGAAATACTACACAATTACTGTAACTGTGAAACGTTATATAAGCTGGCTACTTTTACAACTTAAAAAATTAACCATGGTTTTACTATTAAACAGAGGCGGACAGTAGTGAAGTATTTTTACTCTGCTGTAAAAGTACTTTTCAAGTGTCTGTGCTTTATCAGTGTTTTTCTTTAGAAAACTTTACTTCACAACATTCCAAAGCATACTATTGCACTTTTTACTGCACTACGTTTCATATTAAACATCATTTAATACTTAATTACATTAAATCTATTACTTTTTTTCTTTTACTCAAGTAAAAGTAATTGAAAGATTTACTTGAGTACAAGAAAGTACTAACATTCTTAAGTATTAAAGGTAAAACAAACAACAACGTTTATTTATGAAATGTAGTGCAGTAAAAAGTAAGACATTTTGCTTTGGAATGTAGTGAAGTAAAAGCTTTCCCAAAGAAAAACACTCTGATAAACTACAGATAATTTTAAATTTACTTGAGTAAAGTAAAAATACTTCACTACTGTCCGCCTCTGCAATGAATTGCCAATATACTATATTTATTATTATATAAAATACATACAAATAAAAAAACGGTTACTATAGTTAAACCATGGTAAATTATACACACTAACCATAGTTTACCATGGTATTTTGCCAGTATACTATATTTATTATTATATAAAATACATACAAATAAAAAAACAGTTACTATAGTTAAACCATGGTAAATTAAACACACTAACCATAGTTTACCATGGTATTTGTACAACTGTGGTTATACAAATGTGACCCTGGAGCACAAAAGCAAACTTAAGTCGCTGGGGT